ATGCAAGAAGAGATCAAATTGTACCCGTTGATTTTGATCATGCAATGCTTGTGAACTGGTTCGTGAAAGTTAAGGTGAGTTTACGCGAAGTAAGAAATTTGTTTTATTTCGTATTTTTATAAGCTAAATTACGTGAAACTGTAAATGGATCATCAGTTGGATAGCAATTAATTAGTAAGAGGCGTGTTGGCCTAAGATTATTTATAACTTAAACTAACAGTAATAATAATAGTATTCTAATGTATGATCTGACTAAAATAAATTTTCTGATTTACGATATGACAATAACAATTAAATATATTATAATTACATATATCACCGTTGATAACCTATACGCCTGCTGTCCCCGGACGCATATTATTTCATTTCGAGTTTGAATTGCGATACAAAATTAAGATTTGAATAAAAAAATACAAACAAATTAAGAGCGTAATCATAACGATCTTTAAATACTTATTATAGATCTATATTACAAAGATTCAACATGTTTCACTATATACCGACACATCAATTTTAGATATCTAACAAAAGAAAATTGAATTTCGAGATATCTCCCTTTCGTTTTCAAACTTATCAAGATTTATCTTAAAGCTCATTCATTTTTTCTTTCCGTGTACATCATTGTTTTGGTCAAATCTGTTCAATATTATCTTCTTTACCATTTCGATTGAGGAAAAAATAGTGTTTTGAAGATACAAAGATTAATAAGTTTGGAATTTTTCAACATAGAAATCAACATTATAGACAAACAAATTCAAAAATAGCACTCAAATTTTTGAAATAGAATCTTAAAAGAAAAATGTCTGAAATAAGTTGTTAAGGTTCCTAAACTTTTTGTAATATCTTTTAAAAAATTATGATGCTTAGAAGGAAAAACACGTGGTCTTTTAGAGAATTTTTCATAACTAATAGTGTTACATCCCAATGACCTCATACAATAAAGGATATTTTAAATTTCAAACAAAAAACAAAAAATCACGAGGATGACATGAACCAATCAATAGTATAACATTAATCTAAACTTTGTTAACTTAAATTAAATCCAGTAACTGATAACCCCAACTTTGTTATTATAAAAAAAAGAGACTAATAAAGTCATTGTTAATAGAATGCAATAGACAACGATAAATGACGTGGATGGATACAAGGATAGGGACGAAGGAGTCTGTGTGTCCAATGGAAAGTGTATTACGTGTGTGAGAAGAAGAGAAAGAGACAAGAGAAGAGTGAAGACGTTTACTCACTTGCTACTTCCTTGATTAGATCACGACGCTTTCCACTTTCCGTGTTCTCTACGTCTATCTTTTATTGGTTTTTTTTTTTGGGTCCAAATCTTTTATTGGTATTATTATGACTTTTTAGTACGTATATGCGATTAGATATGGGTGTATATGTCTGATTCATGAAATAATAGAAAGTTTATGCAGCTACACTAATATTGATACGAAAACCCCAAGGACTGGACAGATGAACAAATTGGGTGAAATAATGATGTTGTTTTACTAAATTGCTTCAAAAGCGAGAAAATGACATTGTTGTTTTTTTCTTTTTGTCAACAGAAAAGAAAAACGACACTGATTTATTTAGATCTATCACAAAAAGTTGATGAATTTGGTTTGGTAAGTCTAGAAATTTGACACAAAGCTGTTTAAAATATCGTTTACGATAGTAAAAAGGTAAATGACCGTGCATGAGCATGTATTAAATTAGGTAAAGACATTTTTATTTGTATTTTTCCGACTTTAATTTTAAAGATCACAAAGCGGATACTAATTTCTAAATAGTATGGTTCTTCATACAATAGAACTGTGATGGATGTGTAACACATGTGTAATAAATCTCATACTTGCTATATGTCTTAAACATACATGAATACCGACATTTATATAAATGTGGTTGTTTGTGTGCTTGTGAATGTGATTGTGAACTGGATCTTACTTTAAGTAAAATCACATTTGCAGAGGTTGGGCTTGATTTCTTGTCTCAATACGGCCCAACGAAGCCCCCTGCTCGTGTCTTTTCATCCTGTGATGTTTGTGGTGTCTCGGAAAATTGCTCGTGTAATCCTCCTCCTTTATATTACATACGCCAGTCTTCTTCAACTTTTAGGAATTAAGGAGGATTGTGAGATATTTTCCGAGACAAATATCCAAATCGTATATCTTTGTTCAAGAAACTTTATTATCGACTAATTAATTTCGAGTATGATAAGCCCACGGTCAAAAACATCATCATAAATTTTACATGCGACATTTTCATGCGACGCATTATGATAGATACGTGTGGCAAATTAGCTGAACCACAACGTTGTAAACACTGGTCTTGTTCCTCGAAACGTTTGAAAAGGCAATTGCACAATGCAAAAACATGAATAGTGCCCTATATCACAAACATCTTTATTATGTTTGGTGTTTATATTTACAATAATTATCACCAACGTCTTTATTAAATCTCCAACTTCTGAGGTGATCTCGTATTGACATCACGTTAGTTTTATACATAGGAGCTGAATAAAAGTACTCCTGTATATGATGATGAATTGATGATGCTATATAATGCTTTTTTGTTGTGGTCTAATGCTATATTTTTTTGTCAGTCTCGTTTATATGATGGTAATTAATTAAAATTACATCTAGTTAAGAGGATCCAGACCTCCTTTAAAGATATACGTTTATGAATACAACTATAAAACATACCTATTTACTTTCATAAGTACGACTGTATTATTATTTATTTATTTTGAACAAACGACCAATATTCTTTTTTTTTTTTTTAACAAACGACCAATATTCTTCGTATGATAGAAAATGAAGTAAATATTACTGGTATCATAGATAATCTATGTGAAACGAGAACATTGTTTTGGTATCATCGATATCTCTGCAGCGACCTGTTAGATTTCGCTGACGGCATTTTTATTTTATTTGGTCACATATCAGTCAGTTTTCATAGAGCTCTCTTTAAAGGTTGCATAATTATAGTATTTTATTTTTAAAAAAATACTACAGTTAATTGGGTATGGCCTGGGAACAAGTTCTGGGCATTGACTTTGCATTGGCACAAAAGTCGATGCGAGAAGAGATTCCTCAACGAGGCTACAAAGTAATAGTGGTCCTATCCTTTTGCTTTTACACCTATCTTCTTCTTTTTTGGTTCTAATTGCATACATTTTTTATTGTTTTTTTCGCATTTAAATAACTTTTTTAATCTTTTTTTTCTTCTGCAATTTCATCCCTTGAAAATATCTAATAAAATTGTCAGTAATTTATTTGTTTTCTTTTGGTTAAAGCAGTAATGTTACAAAGAAATATGCGAATAAATTTTTGTGATAAATGAAACATGCTGCAAGGAACCACCACCATGACAATATAAAATGGTATCATTTAGCATGCATGACTACAAAAGCTTGTAATTTTGGATGAAGAATTCAACGCCAAGTTTGACAAATGATAAAGACAAATGTGACGAAAAAAAAGACAAAAGAGGTTAGGGAATTTTAATTTGATACATGTAGAAGAGAAAACACGAGCAAAAGGAAAAGTAGTTGCTTTTAAATTTCTTATTCGAAAGGTAAAACTGTTTAAAAGAAAAAGAAAAAGGAGAAGAAAAAGGAAGAAGACAACCCACACGAATCGACACTTTTGATAGAAGAACAAGAATTAGAGAAGAGAAGGCAGCTACTAAGTCCTAAGTCCTAACTAACTTTCTCTTTTGCTTTTGTCTTCTGTCTTTAGACCAAGCCGTGGCCGTGGGATGTCCACTGTCTCCGTGCGTTAATCCTGCTTCTTTTTCCCACCTTTACTTAGTTTAATTAACGAGTTCTCTATTTCTCTCTAAAGTTTTTTTTTTTTTCTCATTAGCAAACGGACATTTGGGTTACAAAAACAGAACGGAAGTAGAAAATTCGGAAAATGAATCATCTTGTTCCATTTCATCACCATTTGAATGTTAAGCCGAGAGGGAAACAAGAAATTCTGACAATTCTGTTTGGAATTCAAAATAATAATAATCAATAATACGTTTTTGGTGAAAGACTTTATAATGTTATTATTAATTTACTTTTTATTTTTATTTATTTTATCTTATACAGTAGTAGCTTTTCATAAACAGAACATCGTTTATTCCCTTCATGTTTCTACCCTGTGTTCCAAACTGAATTTCAAATTAAATCCGAATCGAAAATGCTATGGAGATTTAAAACAGAATCAGAAAATAACTACCGACTCACCAAAAAAAAACATAAAACTCTCGTCAAATTATGAAAATTACTTGGCTGTAAGTTTCATTTGTAAATTTATATACAGGTGCTAACCTGCTATAATAATATGAATAACTTTGACCTGATTTACAAACGGTAAAAACAAATATGGTTTCTTTCTCGTTGAACAACTCACACATACATTTTGTTAAAAGAGGTTTGTATGAAACTGAAGGAAATTAAAAGTTGTTTTAGTTACAAAACAGCTCTTTTTGGTTGCAAAAAACCAATGTGAACCTAAATAATCTATTTTCACTAACACACTCACACACATTACTATATAATAATAAGTCATAAATCATTATCTAAAAACATATGGTTAACTTGTAACTATAGTACTCCTTGCGTTCTCACAAAGAAACTATAGCTTTTCTATTAACTATTGTGATGAGTTATTTATTTTTTTTTAAAAAAAAAATTTGACAGCTATTGTGATGAGTTTAGTTGTTTGACTATTGTATAGTTCGGTATACACTTAATTCATACTATCATTTTTTATTCAATTTTACTAAAATATAATCCTTTAATCCGTATCATCAATGATTTTTCCAATCAAATGAATGAATGATATTTTAAAATTTTCCGCCAATCCAATAATATATAATTAACCACGAGAAATAGTTAATTAGTTGTCCCTTAATTAGCTCATTTGTTTTTAACGTAATGATCACTTACAACACAATCTTCCCCTTTTTACTGTCTGTCTCTCCCCACAAGTATCTTTGTGGATTGTCAACGCTCTCCGAAAGAGGAGCCCCAAGAAGCTTCTTTTTCTCTCTCTCCAATGGCGCTACAAATCTCCTCCCTTTAAGATAAAACCCCTTCCTTCTTATATTTTCTTCTCCACTGTCTCTCACTTCCCTCTCTCGCTCCCTGCTTCAACAATCGTCTCTTTCACCAGCAAGCTCCAGCCTCCACGTATGGTTTCTTTGTTCTCTTTCTCTGCATTTCATTAGATATGGTTTCTTCTTATTTTGCTCACTCTAAAACCCCGAATCGAATTGGGTTTCTGGAAATTTCTCGAAAGATTCATTGAGTATTTCTCAATCTGCGCAGATTTAAGCCCAGAAAGCAATGGGATTCTCAGCTGGGAAAAGAAAATCACGAGATGAAGAAGATACATTGTTGAGCTTAGCTTCCGATAGTTTCCCCATTGATGACCTCAGCGACGACGTCCTCGAGAGAGTCCTCTCATGGCTACCAACCTCCTGCTTCTTCCGTATGAGCTCCGTCTGCAAGAGATGGAAATCCACCCAATCCTCCAAAAGCTTCAACCTCGCTTGCTCCCAAATCCCTCGCCGAGATCCTTGGTTCTTCATGATCGGTGACGATTCTTCCGATTCCTCCTTCGTTTTCGACTCCACCGAGAACAACTGGAAAAACCTCAACCGCCGCCACAACCTCCACCGCCGCGATTTCATCCCCGTCGCTTCCTCCGGCGGCTTGCTCTGTTTCCGCTGCTCCATCTCCGGCGATTTCCTCCTCCGTAATCCCCTCACAGGTTCCTCCCGCGACCTTCCTTCTCCAATCTCTCGAGACGATAATAACAATAACAAACCCCTCCAAGCCGTAGCCATGGCCACCGTCACTCCCTCAAGCTACAAGCTCGTTACAATCTCCGGTGAAACCCCAAATCTCAGCTTTCGATTCTACGAATCAAATTCCGGTTCGTGGAGCAAAGAATCGGATTTGGTGAAGAATAATACAGACGAAGAGTACAACGATTCATCACATGATGATGATGAGACTGGAACAGTCTACTTTCTAAGCAAAACGGGAAATGTGGTGGTGGCGAGTAACAATCTCCAGAGAAGCCCATCGAAGCTATACTCTTCCGTTATTACCATTAAAGACAACGTAGAAATCGTCTACTTTCTCAGCTCTTATGGAACAATCATATCTTGTAATCTCACCAAAAGATGCTTCACCGAGCTGCCAAAACTTCTTCCTCCATGCCTAGAGTATTCCATCGACTTGGTGGAATGTAGTGGAACCATGTTTGTGATTCTTCTCTCTGAGTTTTACGAAAGCGCCAGCTTAAGGATCTGGAAACTAGAGAAACAGGAATGGGTTCATGTCGGGATGTTGCCTCCTGCGATGTCTCATGAGTTATACGGCAGAAAAGGCGACATAAACTGCGTTGGAGGAGCTGGAAACAAGATACTTGTGTGCTTCAATGCAAGCCCTCCTGAGGTGTATTATAGATACTTTGTGTATGATTTAGTTTCACAAGAGTGGACTGATTTGCCAAGCTGCTTCAAGGATGGAGAAGCTGTGGATTTCGTTTCTGCTCTCTCGTTCCAGCCTCGGATCGAAGCAACAGTTTGAAGTTTAGCTTTTCTTGTTTTATGGATTAGGTTCAGTGATTTGTAAGTGTATTCTTTTCAGGATTGTGCAATGTAACTTGATTTTTAAAATGTATTGACAATCATTGGTTACAACAGGGAATGCTCTGTTGTAAGCAAACACCATCTTTTTTGTCCAACTACCAAAAATCACCACATGAGCATTTACCATCCTTGAACCGGTGAAACCTATTTGCATCTCTCAGTACAATCTCTCTACCATACACTTTTGCTATATATTTCATCGCATTGTGGCAATCTACACAGACGCGTAGGTTCTTGATCACACGGATCGGTGTGGATGGAGGAGTGTTCATAAGCCCGAAAGCAACCGCCAGCTTCTCGCTGTGGTAGTACAGTGCGCGCTCTTTCTCCTCTTCCTCCACATCTACAAGTGTGAAATCTGTCTCAGGAACATACCCTTCTTGTTTGATGTCTCTAATCACATCTTTTACTTTCTCGTATATCAATTCTGTTTGTGGGTTTGACCTATCGTCCACAACAAATAGATGGATCTTGTTTTTCACCTCGATCCAACTGAAACCCGGGTCTTTTTTCACCTTCTGCCCTTTCATCATTGTCCGGGCAAGTTTCATCTCACACCATTTGGAAGCAGCAGCATACATGTTGGATAAAAGCACGTAAGCTGATGAATCCGATGGCTCTAGCTCCAAAAGCTTAGTTGCAACTCTCTTCCCTGTTTCTGTGTCCCCTTGAACTCTGCAAGCTGCAAGCAGAGCTCTGTACATCGATGCTGAAGCTTCCAGGGACATTGACTCGATCAGTTTTTCAGCCTCTCGAACAAGTCCAGCACGGCCAAGCGCATCAGCCAAACATGAGTAGTGTTCTATCTCAGGTTTAATGCCATAGTCCCGATGCATCAATTGGATTTGCTTATATGCCTCGGACACCAAGCCTGAATGACTGCAAGCAGAGAGAACGCCGATAAATGTGACCTTATCAGGTTTTATACCCAGAGATTTCATCTGTTTGAAAAGCTGGAGCGCTTCTTTCCCTTCCCCGTGTTGAGCTAGACCTACTAACATGGCATTCCAGGCAGCGATGTTCCTCATTTCAATCCTTGTAAACAAAGAATATGCATCGTCTATGCTTCCACACTTAGCATACATGTCCACCAGTGAAGTTCCAACGAACGGATCACCCGTGCAATTCAACTTGAGGGCATTTGCATGAATTTGGCGCCCCTGTTCTAATGCCGTCAAACAAGAACTTGCTTTCGCAAGTGTGGCTATTGTAAATTCATCAGGCAGCACTCCCATGAGCCTCATCTGGCTATAAACATGAAAAGCTCGCTCTTCTTCCCCATTTTCTATGCATCCTGATATCATAGACGTCCAAGCAACATCGTCGGGCACAGGAATACTATTGAAAGCAAAATGTGCTGCCCTCATATCGCCACATTTTACGTACATATCCAAGATTCCACTGCTGACCCATAGATCTAAGTCATATCCAGATTTGATTGCATAAGCATGGGCTTGCTTTCCCTGATTTATCGCAAACAAGGAACCACATGTCTTAAGCACTGTTGCGAGAGTGAAATCATCGGATCTCTCCCCCTGTTTATGCATCAACGCAAAGAGCTTCAGAGTCTTGTGACCATCATGACTTTGGGCGTAACCAGACATCATGGCATTCCAAGCCACGGGGTCGAAACTGTTCCTCTCAAACAAAACCTCTGCCTCTTGCATACAGCTGTTCCGAGAGTAGGCATCTATCAGAGCAGTAGATACATAACTGTCAGCAACATTATTGAACTTAATTGCATGTACATGAACTTGTTTATTCAACGACAAGCTTTCAGGAAGAGAAGAAGTTGCCTTTAAAACACTCGTCATAGTATACTGGTCTGGTGTCAGGCCGCGACGCAACAGCTCCATAAACATACACACTGCTTCCATTTCTAGGCCACTTTGAGTAAGACCGTCTATAATAGAATTCCACGAAACCAGATCTCGTTCACTCATACTGTGGAATACTGTCCTAGCAAAACCGATTTTTCTCTGTTTACAGTACATGTTTATTAGACTATTCGCAACGGTGAGCATCAAATCAAATCCTAACTTCAATGTCATACAATGAACTTGCTGCCCTAGTACCAAACTATCTAATCTATTAACTGTAACTAAAACTAAAATAAATGTGACTTGATCACATTCCAAGTTGGACTCAACCATATCCGTGAAACATTGGAGAAGAGCTGAATACTGGCTTGCCTGAAGACATTTAGTCAATCTTTGGTTCTTGGATCTTATCTCTGAAGCATCATTACCATTTGCAAAGGAGTTCACTTGTCCTCCATCAGAATCATCACCAGAGATCCTAGCGAGTAAACGCAAGGTGATTTCATTGGGATGCAAGCCACTTCTATGAAATGCAGAAGAGAGGTCGACTGCTTCTTCTTTAAAACCCATATCCAGATAAGCCTTTAACATCAAGTTCCATAACACCACATCTCTATAAGGCATCTCCTCGAACAAAACTCTACCTTCCTTAACCTTGCCAAACTTCAGATAAATATTAACAAGAAATCCAGCAACAAATTCATCACTTTCCAAACCGATCTTGCAAGCATACCCATGAACTGCCTCTGAAGCCCACACACATCCAGAATGCAAACAGAGTTTTAAAAGTGGAGCCAAAGTCATTCGACTAGTAAACACAACACTCTGGCGTAAAATCCGGAAAAGAAAAAAACCTTCTTCAATGTTCTCGACAACCCCTTCGGAAGACTGCGCATAGGCAGCTAAAATAGAGTTCCAGGAAACAAGATCTCTTTCAGGCATTTTATCGAACACTCGGCGAGCATAAGAGAGTGATCCACACTTTGAGTACATGGAAATGAGATTGTTGACCAGGAATCGTTCTGGGTTTTCCTCGAAGGCTAGTATACGTGCGTGCGTACATTTTCCGAGCGTCAAGTCCGACGTCGAGATTGCATCGCGAAGAAAGCCGAACCATTGTGACGACGAGGAGGAAGATGAAAAAGACGGCGCAGAGGTAAGATGATGCAGGGGAGTGAGATAAGAAAAAGAGGCGAGACAGTGAAATTTGGGACATCTGTGAAAAGAGAAAGGAATCGCTTTGAGGGTTTTGTGCATGATCGATTAAAAATTCAGCCTTGAGGGGTGTAATCTTGCGAACCAAGAAACTCATTTAGGCTTTTCACTAGTCAACTTAAAAAATCAGTTAGTGTGCTTTTCAATCTGCAAAGAAGACTTTTTATAAGAAGAATAAGATGGTTTATTAGCCTGTTATCTCTATTTTGCGGTTTAGTATATTATTTAATAAATTGTTGATGAATTGTTGGGAAAAAAGACTAGAAACAAAAAAAATTGATTGAATACCCATCAAAAGCATGACTAGCTCATGAAATAAACCCTACAATAGTTAAAGAACTACACCAAGTAGGTGAAGAAGTCCTGAAAATATCTTTCAATTTGGTTTTTTAAGTCTTGTACAAGCACTAACCTGATGTTTTAAAAATCCTGAGTAGCATCCGAATATCCGAGTGTCTATAACGATTTTGTAGAACAATTGATATTAGCTCAATTTTAGTGTTGACACAAATTTGACATAGCGAGTTTTTAGAAACCATTATTTTACAGATTTAAAATAAAATAAAATAAACCATAATGGTATTTTCTTGTGTATTGATGAATGGAAACAAACATTTAAAATATTTTTTTCCTTTATTTTCTTTATTGTACTATTAATAAAATATTGTTTTCCTATAGGAGATGTTCCTATACATTGAATAAAAGTAACTTCAAACTCTTTTTATCATTTCACATTAATCCACTCTATCTCTCTCTGTCTCTCTCTCTATCTCTCTGACAAGAAGGAAAGAAGGGTAGGAGATATGTCGTTGTCTCAATACCTCAGCCCGACGCGCCTTCTAGAAGGCTACCTCCGCCGTTGCCTCACGGCGGCAGGACTAACGTCGCAGACAATTTCTATAGACTCTGAAACAACCATCCACTTTTGGGGTCCATCACCATCACACCACCGCATCGATGACGACAGACCGGCGATGCTTCTCCTCCACGGTTTTGGCCCATCCGCCATGTGGCAGTGGCGGCGACAAATTCAAGCTTTCTCTCCATCCATTTTCCGGCTATATTGTCCCGATCTTGTTTTCTTCGGCGACTCTTCCACCTCTTCCACCAATCGCTCCGAGGTCTTCCAGGTACTGTATATAAAACAAGCTTTATATGACCTGTTTGATTCCACACATATGTTTCCCACAAGAATTTGTTGGACTCATTGGTTGGGATGGTAATCACAGTATATTTAGGATCAATCTTTTATGCTCCCAAAGATCTTGAGTATTTGATATTTGCTTTTAAAACCGGATCACAAAACGAACGACGGATTTGAACTAGTTGATCACCTTATGTTATGGATCAGTTTTATTTTTGGTCACTTTTAAAGTGTTGTTATTTAATTACGTATAGAAAATAGAGGAAATGATTTTTTTTTGTCGGCATAGAAGATATGATTCATTTACATATAATTTTCTTAACATATACAAAAATATTTTCTATATTCTGTTCTAATATCAAAATTTCTATTCAACATTTATATTTTGTGTAACCATTTTAAAAATGCTTACTAATATATCTCATATAATAAAAAAAAACACGCCGAACGGGTAATATAAGTAATCCAAACCGGATTTTGTTTAGACATTGATATGTTGGCTTTTTCTTTATCGAAAAGATTTGATCTCATATTGTTGCTATATATACTAAATACAGATCTTATAATAATAATATTTAGGCGGAGTGTATGGCAAAGCTAATGGAAAAAATAGGAATAGAGAAGTTCAATGTAGCTGGAACAAGCTACGGTGGGTTTGTGGCGTACCACATGGCAAAAATGTGGCCGGAAAAAGTGGAGAAAGTTGTGATAGCAAGCTCCGGCATCAACATGCGAAAGTGTGACAGTGAAAGTCTATTACAAAGATCCAACTGTGAGTGCATTGAGAAAGTTATGTTACCATCAACTGCCACAGAACTTCGGACACTTATGGGTTTGGCATCTTCTTGGAGAATGGTTCGTATGTTTCCTGATGCTCTCTGGAACGACGTTATCAGTGTAAGTAATTAAATAATTACTGTCTTTTTTTTAGACTATGATCAATGGGGAAAGAAAAAAATGGTAAAAAAAGGGAAAAACGTAAGACTATAATTAATTAGATTGTTATGTGCTGACAATGAATATTATCGTAATGACATAGATCAAACTTGCTAATAATTTAACAAACAAAATTTTTTGTTTTGTATAATCTATGTAGAATTTATACCAAAAGAATAGAAAAGAGAAAATAGAATTATTGAAGGGGGTGACTCTCGGTAGGGGCGAGAAATTAAATATCGATCCTCTTTCTCAGGTACGTCATAGAAATCAAACGTAGTTTACTTCTAAAATTATTATAGGCACATAAATGCCATTCATCTGATTAACGCTACGTTTATAAATACATATACTCCCTTAGGAGGTCCTGATAGTATGGGGAGACAAAGATCAAATATTTCCTGTGAAGATGGCTTACGAACTAAAAGAGTAAGTAAAACTATGTCTTGTTCAAGTTTTAACGTACACAATGAATTGCTCTTAAATATCAATATTCTTAAGCATATTGTTTAAATGCTGCAATGGTTTCTGTATTTATGTAGGATTCTTGGAGACAAAACAAAACTAGAAATAATTGGGAACACTTCACATGTTCCCCAGATTGAATGTGCACAAGAGTTCAACAATATCGTTTTGAGATTTTTGAAGGGATCTAAATAATAGTGCTACATGATTCTCAAGCTTGTTTTGTATGAAACATTTGAAGTATCCGTAGTTCACGTAACATTGCTACTTTACTTGCCATGTTTTCTCATTTTATTATGTAATAACTTCATATGTTGTGTCAACTATATATATTTTAAGATATTTCTCTTTATTTTATCCCCATCCGTCATGACTGAATCATTTGGAAAGGGACTATGATTTGGTCAACAATAAAATGTCAGAATTAAGTGGTTGAAAGTTGGTGGTTTTCCAATCTGACAAAAGCCCCAAATATAAAAATGACTTTCTCAAAAGTTTTTTAACTTATTGTCCACGTTAACGAGTAGGTCACCAGATGCTCACAAAGATGTCAACATTGTTGTTGGTAAAGTAAACTCTCGAAGAAAAACTGAGATGTGTAAAGAACAATGATAACATTCAGAATTTCAATGAATTATGAGAATTCATTACTTAATATTCACAAAGATGTTATACAATTTACAGTCCCAAAAAAGAGAAAACTGACAAAGTTTTACAACTACATTTCGCCTTAACATATAGTATAATTCTACAATTACCAAGTCTAAGCTTCCATTGTTCATTCTCATAAAGAGAAATTTGCAATACTAAATGATTTTTCTAACTCCCATCGGTGCCTAATCAAGCTCCATTATGCATCAAACGATCTGCTTTGAGGCTGAAGCTGTGGAGGGTTTCTTCACAAGGGACTGTGCACAAGTATATTCTGATACAAATTTTGGTGGTTCTATTTCTGATGGGTCCAAAACTGGAATAGCCTTATCTATATCTTCTGCAGAGAAAGGAATACTGCACACAAAAACACGATACATTAGTCTATATAATTTAGAGAACTTAAACGTCTTGAGTCATGCGAGAGAAACTTGATTAATGGAGAGATTCTCAACCAAATGCCCAAACCAAACCCTAGATATGCTAAAGCTTTTTTCTATCTAATAAGGATTCTCAGAACTTCATATGCATAAGCCAGAACCATTATCCCTTGGTTGAGCACTTGAGCTAGAGATATAAACGTTTGTGTTACTACCACATATTATGCTACCTACGTATAACTAAACTTGAGAGCCGACTTACTTTGAAATATTTCATTTCATGACATAGACAAAAACGGAAGAAAAATTTTTGCACCAAAAAATGGAAGACAATAGTACCTCATATCATCATCAAGCAAGAACGAATTCGATGATAGCTTTTGGCTATCCTTGTCCAAAAGTATCCTCATTTGAGAAACCACCTACAGCGCAAAGATATGTATCAAGGTTGTTTCAATATTCAACCCAGTTAAACGCCCAGGATATAGAGTTTTCGACATTAACTCACCTCACTTGAGACACTTTGAGTTCCATATTTATCATCCCAGTACATCGTACTTATTCGATATATTTGCCTTATCGTCAATGCCTATAACAGAATAAAATAGAGATGAGTTCGTCAGATTCCAAAAGTGCTTACGGCAAAAGAACAAAACACCTGGTCCTGAAGCCAAAAAAAAAATAACGTACCGGGCATAGATCCTGCCTGATTTCATCCAGTGATTTTTTTCTTTTCTGGTGTATAACCTAGGACGAAATTGAAAATTGCATAATTTATAAACCAATTAAATGCAAGTTCCGCAACAAAAAGAAACTACACTTTTTCTTATCAGAGAAGAAGAAGATGCATTTTACCAAGAATCCAACAGCTTGTCTAATGTAATTTAACTCGTGCCAAGATGTTCCTGAAAACTGTATTCACAAAATTTTAGATAACAGAGAGCATCCATCTATAAAGCATCTAATGGGTATATAACATGGTGTACCTCCTCCTTGGCACTGGCTATCCACTTCTCCAATTCTGCAATCCCAGATTTCACATATTCCCCATTTGAAAATGTGCAACATTCACGTCGAAGGAGAAGACTGAAAAGGAATTTGGATTATATATGCAGAACACAAATGTCATATGCGGTAAGCGATACATCAACTGAGATTAAGATCACATCTACCTGTTGAAAAGTGATAGGTTGATAAATGAGAAAACTTGAGTCACAAGTTTGCGAATGAAGAACGAGGGTACCTACCAATAAAACAGTCAGGTTAGAAAAAAAAAAGAACAATGTAAATAATCTTTAGAGCACAAGCATGGTACATGAGTTTTCTAATTCCTAATCCTCGTATGTGAGAAACGGGACAAAAACAAAGTAATTACTATGTACAACTTTTACTCTTCTAATACAATCAACATAAACTTAGAAGAGTAAGAGTTTCGTCATGGCAAAAAAAAAAAACCATCATTTGAA